ATTAATATTATTTGCCGCGTAGTGGCGGTCGGTCCACTACCCCATATCTTCCCGTGGGTGTCGTAAGAGGCGACAGAGGGAGACAGGCAGGAGTTGGGCAGCAGCATCTTCCTGATAACAACAGGTTGCCAACCCGCTCGCCAAGCGTGGCAACTATCGCAAATATCCCCCCATGAATAACGACGCAAACAGACCGCCCCCAGTCCCCGGCGGCCCCGCTATTCCTGGCTACGTTGGCGACCATGGTAACGGCGGGGCAGGGGGTGCTAAGAATCTCCGGTGGAGGTTCGGTTGCCACCTACGATGACTCGACCTGGCAAGAAGATACTGAGCTGAGCTGGGAGAAGAGGTAGACAAGTTGCGCTGGCATATTATTGGATTACAGGTCCGAGGAGAGGGGGAGGACACGGCAATCCTCGAGTCCGGCAACTTGTTCTATCACCGGGAGGGCGACCATCTGTCCCAAGGATGTGTCTGATTTATCGTCCACAAGTCTCTCGTCAACAACGTTGTAAAGATTGGGAGTGTGTCCACGAGGATCGCGTACCTGATACTCAGAATCATCAAACGGTATTCGCTGAAGGTCATACAGGTTTACGCACCAACCTCGGCACATCCCGATTAGGAGGTGGAGGAAATGTATGAGAATATTTCCAGAGCCATGCATTCCTCCAAAACCCACTACACGGTGTTGATGGGTGACTTCAACGCAAAACTAGGCACAAGAGAAAGGGGTGAACTGAAGGTAGGGAAATTTGGAGTAGGGCAACGGAACCGAAGGGGCAAGCAACTGGCCGACTTTATGGAGAAAGAGGGACTCTTTATGATGAACTCTTTCTTCCAGAAGCGGCCCCACAGGAAGTGGACCTGGCCGAGCCCCGACGGTTCGACAAAAAATGAGATTGACTTCATTATGACGACCAGACGCCAACTGTTCAGTGATGTCTCAGTGAGCGCAAGGGTGAAAACTGGCAGCGATCACCGAATGGTTGGAGGCACACTGAACCTAAACGTTAAGTTGGAGAGGTCTCGTCTAATGAAGTCAACGCTCCGTCCCCCTCGTGCTCTAATCCAGAATCCCGAAGCCTTTCAGCTCGAGTTACGTAACCGCTTTCAGTGCCTAGAAGATTGCAATGCAGTGGACGATGTGAATGACAAGCTCGTGGAAACTGTCCATGCGGTCGGAGCTAAGTTCTGCAAGACCCGCCGCAGAAGAACACAAAAACTCTCCGATCACACTCTTAATCTCATGGCTGTTAGACGAGAGATGAGGCTGCAATCGTCAACAGATTTGACAGCATACAGGCAACTGAACAGACAGATCTCCAAATGCATGCGACGATACTTACGCAACTTTAATACTGCTCGTATTAAAAAAGCGATCGAGCGGAACCAGGGCTCCAAAGTCTTTGCCAGAGAACTGTATGCCAGAAAGAGCCAACTGTCAAAGCTGAAGACTGAGTGTGGCAACATCGTTTCCGGGTCACCTGAGATTCTGAGTGAGATTGAGAGGTTCTATGGGCAGCTGTACACATCATCGTTGGAGCCACACGCAAGTGTGAGTAACGATCCAAGAGCAAGTCTTATCCGACACCATTCCGATGATATCCCGGACGTCAGTCTGAGCGAGATTAGAATGGCTCTCCACCACCTTAAAAACGGCAAGGCCCCGGGCGAAGATGAAATTACAGCGGAGCTTCTGAAAGCGGGTGGAACACCGGTACTTGAAGTCCTTCAGAAGCTCTTCAATTCCGTCCTCCATGGTGGCACTACTCCGGAGGCGTGGAGCAGAAGCGCGGTGGTCTTGTTATTTAAGAAAGGCGACAACGCTCTCTTGAATAACTACAGACCGATTTCCCTTCTGAGCCGCGTCTACGTGCTGTTTTCGAAAGTCATTACGAATCGTCTCGCACGCAGACTCGACGATTTCCGGTCTCTCGAACAAGCCGGTTTCCGAAAAGGCTTCAGTACCTTAGACCACATACATACCCTGCGGCAGATTGTACAGAAGACCGAAGAGTACAATCTGCCACTTTGCCTGGCATATGTGGATTATGAGAAAGCCTTTGATTCCGTCGAAATTTGGGCGGTTCTACAGTCCCTTCAGCGGTGCCAAGTTGACTGTCGGTATATCGAAGTGTTGAAGTGTTTGTACAGCAGGGCTACGATGGCTATCCGAGTACAGAACCAGAGTTCGATACCTATCCAACTGCAGAGAGGTGTAAGACAGGGTGATGTTATATCCCTGAAACTCTTCACCGCTGCGTTGGAAGACGTTTTCAAGCTACTGGACTGGAAAGGATATGATATTAACATCAATGGCGAGTACATCACTCACCTTCGCTTTGCCGACGATATAGTCCTTATGGCAGAATCGCTGGAGGACCTTAGCACTATGCTCAATGACCTCAATGGTGTCTCCACCGGATAGGTCTTAAAATGAACATGGACAAAACAAAGATCATGTTTAATGTCCATGTCACACCTATGCCGGTAGTTGTTGGGAGCACTATGCTCGAAGTTGTTGATGAGTACGTTTATCTGGGAGAAATAGTCCGACTAGGTAAGTCCAACTTCGACCGAGAGGTCAATCGACGGATTCAACTCGGCTGGGCAGCGTTCGGGAAATTACAACACATCTTCTCTTCAGGTACTAGGCTGCACTAAAAGTATCGGGAATGGAATATTTCCACTGTTCCTGTCATATTAAAATCTTTTTAATTGAAAACTCCTTGGTTTTAAAAATCGAATACCATTTATTTATTTAAAAAAAGATTCTCGGTCTTGTCACAAGGTTTTGTCAAACTTGTTTAGTTGTTGAGAAAATGGAATTGACTCGAGAAAATTCAAGAGCGATGATTTATTATGACTTTCGAAGTGGTTAAACACACAAACAGTGTGTTGACCGGATGATTTCTGCATTTGGTGATGCCCCATCCAAAACCACAATTTATCGCTGGTTTGCTGAATTTTAACGTGGACGTGTCAAGCTCAGTGACGATCGCCGTCAAGGTCGTCCAAAAACTGCAGTCACCCAAGAAAACGTTGATGCTGTGCGTAAGCTGATTGAGGAAGATCGACATGTGACATACCGCGAAATTCAGGCAACTTTAGACATTGGCATGAGTAATACAAATAATCTTGCATGAACAATTAGGTGTAAAAAAATTGTTTTCCCGATGGATACCGCATTCGCTCTGTGAAGAGCAAAAAGCGGCTCACGTTACTTGGTGCGTCAGAACTCTCAAAAGATTCCATGCAGGATCCTCAAATGCTGTATACAACATCGTATAAGGTGACGAATCCTGGATATACATGTACAAACCCGAAACAAAAAACCAGTCACGAGTTTGGGTGTTCGAAAATGAGTTAAAGCCAACAAAAATTGTTCGTTCACGGAGTGTTGCAAAAAAAATGGTGGCCACGTTTGTCTCCAAAACCGGCCATGTTACCACTATTCCTCTTGAGGGACAAAGAACGGTTAATGCAGAATGGTATGCTAGCATTTGTTTGCCACAGGTCGTTTCTGAACTCCGTGAAGAGAACTGCAACCGCCGCATCATCCTCCATCACGACAATGCGAGTTCTCACACCGCACACAACAAAAGAGTTTTAGAGCAAGAAAACAAAATTATTAGACTATCCGCCGTACAGCCCTGACCTAAGCCCTAATGATCTCTATACTTTCCCTAAAATAAAGAATAAATTGCGTAGACAGATATTTTCATCACCTGAAGAAGCTGTGGACGCCTACAAAACGGCCATTTTGGAGACCCCAACTTCCGAATGGAATGGTTGCTTCAATGGTTGGTTCCATCGTATGGAAAAATGTGTCAAATTTCGCGGAGAATAGTTCGAAAAGCAATAAATACATTTTTAAATAGTAATGTTGTGTCGCTTCCTTGATTCCCGAAATTTTCAGTGCCGCCCTTGTATACCTCAATCTCTGAAAACTAAAGTGTATAACCAGTGCGTGTTGCCAGTGATGACTTACGGATCTGAGACGTGGTCCTTCACTGCTGGCCGTATGAGGACGCTCAAGGTCGCTCAGCGAGCTATGGAGAGGGCTATGCTCGGAGTTTCTCTGCGTGATAGACTCAGAAATGAGGATATCGGTAGTAAAATCAGGGTGACCGACATAGCCCAACGGATTAGTATGCTGAAGTGGCAATGGGCCGGCCATATAGCTCGAAGAACCGATGGTGAAGAAAGGTTCTCGAGTGGCAGCCTCGTACCGGTAGGCGTAGTGTAGGGCGACCCCCCACTAGATGGAGTGACGACCTGGTAAGACATGCAGGAAGTCGATGGATATGGGTGGCTCGGGACCGTGCTTTGTGCCGTTACTCGGGGGAGGCCTATGTTCAGCAGTGGACTTGTGAAGGGCTGTAATGATGATGATGATGATGGTGTGTATTAATATTCCATAGTAAATTTTTCTATTGTTCACAGAGCTTAAATTGCTGGAGCAACGTTGAAGGAGCGTTAGTAGAGGCCTGAGTATTTCTTTGTATAAATGTTAATCTCTGGAGTTTCAAATTAATACTTATTTATAAATATAATAAATATACATGTTATTGATATTAAATATTGCATGACATGTTACTGTCACATCTATTATGATAAATGTTAGCAAATATCACTATATTGTTACTTTTTAGTAACAATCGCCACATAGTTCTGATAGCAAGCTAAACTTATGATAGTAATATGAATATTATAAAATAAAATCATTCCAAATATGCCTTTAGAGTTTTATTTATCACACTTTTATCATACCTAATTCAACTGAACATTTATCATTCTTATAAAAATATATTAATTGACCTAAATATTATATCTAAAAAGTAAACATTGCAAATCCATAATATAATTATTTGTAGCTATAATTTCAACGCATAAATTTTTCACCATTTTTATTTGGTGAAAACAATGGCACCTTGTTTGAGGTTAAAATAATAAATCAATGACACCAAGTTGGAATGTAAAACCTGCATACAATGCTATAACTTCAAATCTTTTGCAATATCAATATGTTTTCTTTTATATATCTTCTCTGCTAATTGTAAGAGTAGATACATTAAACTTATAACTAAAAGAAATGGCCACACACCACTGCTCAGGTAACTTTTCAATTGTTCACCCAATGGCTTGTTTTTGTTTTTTAATATTTTATCATAAACTTTTTCAGTCCTCCTCGTTACATCCATCCAATTATACATCTTCCTAATCATTCTATTACATTCATATGGGCACAGTATATTTCCTTTTTGAATGTCATCTATAGCTAATTCTATACCTTCCACAATACTGAGAACATTAGGTTCAGTAAGATATATCATACTTTCTGGCAGTACTTCTGGGATACCTCCAACTTTTGTTGACACTACCTTTAACCCGCATGATGCGGCCTCAACTATTGCCATACAATAGGCCTCTGTTAAGGATGTGTTAAGAAATATATCACCCTTTACTAAAGTATCTCTCACTTCTGAATGTTTTAAACTTCCTAACAGGGTAACACAGTGCTGAAAGCCCTTTCTTTCTCTAACTTCTTGCAAGAGCCACATCTTTGGTCCATCACCTCCAATAATAAACCTAAGTTTTGGATACCGAGGACACATATCAGCTATCACAGCAGCCATCAAATCAACACCTTTTCTGTACACTAATCTAGACACAATAACTATGGTTATAACATTTGGATCCCTCTGACTTGGGTCTGGAATGAAGTTATAGGCATCTACTGCATTAGGTATTACAGATACCTTGTGTGCTTTCACTTTAGCCCTTAATACTGTATTTTCTTTTCCTGTGTGTGACACGCAAATACAATGATCACATTCACACAGACACATTTGCAAGTATTTATTCGTCAAAACTGCTGATGTATCTGCAAAACCAAACAAGCTGTGATCTGTGAAAACTGTCTTCAAACCTAATAACTTGCCTATGATTGAAACTTCATGAGCTAAAACACTAAATGCTGAGTGACCATGGACAATTTCAATACATTCTCGTATCAATATATATCGAACTATTGCTATATTGCATATCATTGTTGGCAGAACACATTGAGAGTAAAAAACCCTGACTGGTAAATAGTACACTTTGAGGCCACCAGTTAGATACCTGACTCCAATCCGCTTGCCGTAACAATGAGTGATGACGATCACTTTATGTCCACACTTGATCAAACATTGAGATAAATTGTATATATGTTCTTCCACTCCGCCAGTATTCGGATAGAAAAAATCGGAAGCCATACATATTACATGCTGCTTCTTATTAGGTGTAGATTCCTAGAACAATAAAAATAATAAGTGAGGTATCATGGCTATGTTTACATTATTTGGAAAATATACCACACCTTCGCATTCATTATTTATATATATCATAACACTACGAATTAAGTCATAGAATAACATAAGTGGTTTTTGCATCAAAATCAGAAAATTTTCTTCAACACGAAACTCATGACATTTGTTGACATGACACATTTGACAACAGTTTTTAAATAAAAGGTACGAAATTTTTGGTTTGGATGCTTGTTATTTAAGCCACGTCTTAATTTCATTCAGGATCTTCGTTTTTATAGAACTTTTGTGGATGGTGATGGATCACATTGCCCCAACGGACAGTTGATGACGACATTCCCTCAGTGTTCCGTACTGTAACCATATTTTTTAAATTAATATTTATATGTCTATATAGTTATTTTCTGGTTTTCGAATCGAGGTACTCCCATTCGTGAAGGTAGCATTGTTGTGCTGCGAGAAGATAATCTCCCTCCCTTACAATGGAGACTAGCTCGAGTTCACGTATTACATCCGGGCACTGATAGTGTTACTCGCGTATAGACGTGGGCGTTATTTCACGTCACTAGATACAGTAACTGGCTACGCGGCATGTAACCGAATCACTAGTTTCGAGTCATGTTATAAGTAGTGATTTTTGTAAATGCGTGATTATGATTACTGTTAAACATGATTATTGCGGGAGTCGACTGTCTGTCGGTCGAGTGCAAAGCGCACATGTGGCGTACAACAATAAACAAAACGCCGTAAGTAACAGTATTATTGTACGTTTAATTTTCATACATAAGACTATAGACATAGACAATAAAATAGAGTAATCTCTGTTTGTAAATAATTTCAACGGTTTGCGATTCCGGAAAGCGAGTCACATTGAATTTAACTAAAATAATTTTTAAACATTTTTGACGGAGTCATGAACTCTATTCGTAAAATTAAAATAAAACTAAAAAATGTTTATAAAAATTAAAAATTTAAATGTTTATAATATTATAAAACTTAAAAACTGTGTGTAAATAGCCAAACAAACAAACAAATTAATTGTACAGTGTAAATAAAAGTGCAAAAACAAATGATAGTGAAAACGTTGAAAAAGTGTAAATAAACCGTAAATATCAATAATCATTGTATATACAATCAAATTGACTTGTAAATATGCCTGCATTAATAATTTTATGAAAATCTTAGTGTCATAGTAAACGCAAATCAATCATAAATACATTTAATGCAGTCAGTCCTAAACCTGAATAAAGTATGAAGTTAATTTATTCATTTAACAGTATACGGTTACTGTATAGCTATGAACACAGATTGTGATTAAATTTATTTTCGTTTTGTGTGTAACTGTATAGTTAGTGGTCATATTTATGCAAACAATCACAGTAGCCGAATAAAAATAGCTAGTTACAAAAATCACTAGTTTTGAAACAGGTGACGCCGATCAAGTCACTGGTTTCGTTACGTTTCTTGAAAATGATGTAACGACCCACGTCTACTCGCGTAGTAACTCTACAAATAGGAAACAAATTTGTTATGCGTCCATTCGTATGCCCTCTTCCACTGGAATAAAGTGAATTACGAATGTCCAACCTAGTTCAAAATTTACGTTAACTGACTCCAATTATTCTCTAGTTTCCTATTTTATTTATTCAGTTAGTTTAACAATGTTTTCTTTTCAATACTTTTACTTTGTGTTTAGACTTGTTGAAAGCCTCACGTCTTTTAAGGTGAGCGGCATGCATAGATAAATAAATATGTAGCAAGGCGGCATGTTCCGTACTGGAACCATAATTTTTAAATGAATATATATTTGTCAATATAGTTATTTTCTTATAATTTTTCGAGTGGCAACAATTACTAAATTAATAGGGATTTATGGAATTCTTGGTCTGGTAACAATCCTTTTTACGCCGAAGCCGCGCTTGCGTCTGATTGGCCGAACGGCTGACTCACTTGCGCGCCGTACGCCGAAGCGTCATGAACTTTGCTCTTTCGAAAAAATTATTGTGTGTGTCCCTTTTATTTTACAACGAGGACTAAACAATTCCCGAAGATACTGTGCCAGTGACCTATGGATTATTCTATTCGGAGAGACAGGGTTATATCCCTTCGAGTCACCTAATCAGCCAGCCAGCTCGCCGAGCTCCAGCAGCGTGAGGCAGTGGAAGGCGGAGACCGGTGAGTTACCAGACCCTTAGCTCTTTCCTGAACACTCAGATTCATAAGGCGCCTAAGTGGTCTAAATAATGAGGCTTATCAACATTGAAGAACTTGTTTCGTCATTTTATTTAATAGTTCACATGCGCAAACATTGATTTGCAAAATCAAATCACTTTTAAATTTTTTTATAGAAGAGGAGGCAAACGAGCATACGACTCACCTGATGTTAAGTGACTACCGCCGCCCATGATCAACCGCAACACCAGGGGAATTGCAGGTGCGTTGCAGGCCCTTTAGAAAGGAGTAAGCTCTTTTCTTGAAGGTTCCCAGGTCGTATCGGTCCGGAAAAATCACCGGTGGTAAACTATTCCAGACAGAGAGGTTGTACGCGGAAGAAAACTCCTTTTGAAACGTACAGTGGTGGATCGCCAAGCATCCATATGGTGTGGATGGTATTGGGACGTTAGCCGCGTAGTACGTTCACGAAATTTGGCGGCTGGGATTAATCCGAACAACTCCTCAGAGCACTCCCTATGGTATATGCGAAAGAAAATGCAAAGAGATGCAACATATCTTCGCAGCGCCAGTGAATCGAGCCAATCGGAAAACACTCGGTCGTCGACGATTCGAGTCGCTCTGCGCTGGATGCGGTCAAATGGAAGGAGCTGGTACTGGGGAGCCCCAGCCCAGAGATGGGAACAGTATTCCATGTGCGGCCGAATCTGCGCCTTATAAAGTTGCAGGCGGTGTGCCGGCATGAAATACTGTCCCGCTCTGCTGAGCACGCCAAGCTTTTTAGAGGCCAATTTGGCCTTCTCTTCCAAGTGACCACGAAACTGCACGTCACCCGATATGTCGACGCCGAGGATTCCGATACTGGCTGAGGCAACAAGGGGAGTGCCTTGAAACTGAGGAGATACGACAAAGGGGTACTTTTTAGCGGTTAACGCGCGAACTTGTGTCTTCTGGGGGTTAAACTGGACTAGATTTAGTCGCCCCCAATCCGAGACTCTGTTCAGCAAAGACTCGACTTCACGACACAAGTTTGTCCCGGTACTCGGAGACGTTTTCCCGAGAAATATTGTCACGGCCGGTGTAAAGAGCATCACCAGTGCTGTCATCTGCATAGCAATGAATGTTACGGGTTTGCAACATTTGAACAAGTGGCAACTGCCATTAAAAATATGACTAGGGGGAAATCTCCCGGCCATGATTCTCTCAGCATCGAGCACCTGCAGCATGCCGGACCTCACCTGCCTCGATTACTCGCTACGTTCTTCTCTTCATGTCTCTGTCATTCGTATCTGTCTCAAGACCTTATGCGGACAATAGTTGTGCCTATAGTTAAAAACAAAACATGTGACGTAGGAGATAAGTGTAATTATCGACCCATATCTTTGGCAACAATTATGGCTAAAATACTTGACAGCCTTGTTGGATACACAGCTGGAAAGTTATATTGAGTTGCACGATGCACAGTTTGGGTTTCGGTCTGAATTGTCTACTGAGAATGCTATCTTAGCCCTAAAGCACACTGTTGAATATTACACAAAGCGACGTACACCTGTATATGCATGTTTTTTAGATCTCTCCAGAGCTTTTGATCTTATAAATTATGACATATTATGGGATAAGCTACGCCAGAAAAAGATTCCAGCTGAGCTTTTGAAGATTTTTCAGTACTGGTACAATAATCAGTATAATAATGTGAGATGGGCCGATAAGTTCTCTGAAAGGTACAGATTGCAGTGTGGGGTCAGACTGGGAGGAATTACGTCACCAAAGCTTTTCAACCTGTACATAAATGACCTAATCGTTGAACTCAGCAGCAAAAAAGTCGGATGTTGTATCGACGATGTAACTTTTAACAACATAAGTTACGCAGATGATATGGTGTTGCTGAGTCCCACGGTTAAGGCCACCAGAGAACTCCTTAAGATATGTGAGAAGTATGCGTTAAACCATGGCTTGCGATGCAATGGTAATAAAAGCGAATTCATGGTGTTTAGAGCCGTTGGCTGTAAAAGCCCAGAAAATGTGCCTGCAATTTAAATTGAATGACATTGAATTAAAACGCGTTGATAAATTTAAGTACTTAGGGCATTTTGTTACCGATGACCTAAGTGACAATGTTGACATAGAAAGGGAACGTAGGGCGCTGGCAGTCCAATGTAATATGTTGGCACGTAGGTTTGTGCGGTGTAGTGAACAAGTAAAGATAACACTATTTAAAGCGTACTGTCAAGTTTTCTACACATGCAGCGTGTGGTAGAATTATTCACTGCGGACTGTCGACACCTTACGTGTCCAGTATAATAATGGCTTCAGGATCTTGTTGGGGCTACCCCGATTTTGCTGTGCATCAAACATATTTGCAAAGGCGCGTACAGATGACTATTACGCCCTTATAAGAAAGAAAGCAGCCTCGTTGCTTGGCAGGGTGCGGGCTAGCTCCAACTCCATCATGAAAGTAATTGCTGAAAGATACGACTCATTCCTCCTTAAGCAATATTACCGCCTATGTTTAGTTAATAAGGCGCTTGTATTTAAGAATTAGATGTAGGTACTAACATAGGTTATAAGTTCCATATTTACTAACAAATTTTATGGATCACTTGGTTATCTGAAATAAAATTATTATTATTATTATGTGGGGTATCTATATAGTTTTCTCATCTGGTTGGGATGTATAAATATATAATTATAAATGAAAATGAAAAGATAAATATACATAAATATTAATAAAATAAAATAAATACAAAAATACATAAATAAATAAAAGCCCAACCAGATGGAAGCCCTCGGCAGGGGAGACCAAACGGCCGAGGGTTAGGGGGGAAAGGGAAAGAAACCGGCGGACCATGCGGGCAGTATCAAGGAGCACCGCCTTCTGCATTTGAGCCCGGAG